GTGGAAAGAGGAGGAGGGGGGAAAGAAGAGGATAGGAGAGGAAAGAAGAGGAAAGAAAAGAAGAGGATAGAAAAGAAGAGAGAAAAAGAGGAGGAGAGAAGAGGAGAGAAGAGGAGAGAAGCGGAGAGAAGAGGAGAGAAGAGGAGAGAAGAGGAGAGAAGAGGAAAAAGTAGAAAAACAAAAGATAATATAGAAATTAATAATAGTAAAAAAGTTTAAAAAAAATATTTAGAGAAGAAGAATAGCAGAGGAGAGAAAAGAAAAAAAAGGAGAGAAAAGGAGAGAAAAGGAAGGAAAGGGAAAGGAGAGAACAGGAAGGAAAGGAAAAGGAAAGGAAAGAAAAGAAAAGGAAAGGAAAGCATACAGGAAAGTAGAAAAACAGCGAAGAAGAGCAAAGAAAAAAAAAAAAGAGAAAAGAGTAAAGAAAAAGCAAAGAAAACTAAAGGAAAGGAAAGAAAAGGGAAAGGAAAGAAAAGGGAAAGGAAAGGAAAGAGAAGAAACCTTTAGAAAAGGGAAGCAAAGCAAAGAAAAGGAAAGAAAAGAAAAGGAAAGGAAAGGAAAATCCACAAACGCAGTCTCAATTCTCCTATCAATTGACAACCATACTTACTTACCTACACTCACAATCAGAATCAGAATCACACTTACAATCGCAACCACAATCACAATTCTAACGATTCGAAATTCGAATTTCAAAACCCGACTAACTGTGGCAAAGGCGAGAGAGCACCTACCATTTTCATTCTTTCTTATCCTGTTCTTTTTTTTTTTCTTTTTCTTTTTCTTTTTCTTTTTCTTTTTCTTTTTCTTTTTCTTTTTTCTTATTCTTATCTGATTTACCCTCTTTTACACTTTAGGAAGTGTCACCTATTCTTTTACTTGTTTTTGAGGGATTTTGTCATCCTTTTGAATATCCCGTTTCCCTCTATTGCTTTTTGGTGAAGACTGGATTCGAGTTTCGGGGTTTGATCATTGGGGTGGGGTGATGGGGAGAGGGGAGAGGGGAGAGGGAGGTTGGTTGATTTGATGGATGGATGGTTAGTTGGATAATTAGGAAATATATATATATATATATATATGTGCTCGTGTATTTATATATATATATATAAGTTTCAGAAGGACTTTTTGGAAAGGGAGGAAGGAAAAGATGAGAAAGAAAGAAAGAAAGGAAACACTAAGGGGGGAGAAGGGTCAGCTTGAATATATCGATAGGTATCTATATCTGTTTGTTTCTATTGCTGGTATCAATCTGGATGATGATAGTGCAGTCACGAGGAAGCTTCTGATATGTGTAGTTGAATGACTTGTATTATCTAGGACTAAGAATTAAGGGCGAAGTTGTAGTAAGAGCGTGCTAAGGCTGAGGTCCGTGCGTGCACGTGTATGTGCACGTGCACTATACATCATGCTCTCACCTTACACCTTACTTAGCAACACACCCTTCTATCGAGGCCTTAAAAGCTTTCGGCAGTACCTTAATTGTATTTAAACTAATATACCTTTTTTGTAAAGTAGAAGTAAAAACACCTTTAAGAGCACAGTCTACTTAATTTCTACCGAATGTAGCAAGTACGACTTCTAAGAAGAGAAAAAATCTTTTATGACACACCTTTACTACCCCTTGCTAAAAAAAACACCCCTTGCTGAGCTCTATAGCTCTAGCACTTTCATTCGAAGCAATTGTATAAAGGCAGCGTAATTTGTATCATTCAATAGCTTTGTCATACCGTCGGCGACGTTCTCTTTGCTAAGAATATACTACAGATCGAGTCGTCCTTTTGCCACTTTATAGCGTACGTAATAGAACTTGATGTCGATATGCTTGGTTCTTTAATAGTATTCAAGGTTTTCGAAGAGTAAGAGTGCTCTTTATAAGTCATAAATCATCTTAATTTTCTTCGCGTCAGCCTTCTTATAGCCAACCTCATTAAGTACTTGCTTAATCCAAGCGGCCTCTTAAGCGAATTTGCACATAGTTACGTACTTAGCTTCGGTTGAAGAAAGAGCTACAATAGTCTAGCGTTTGGAAATGACGTTAAAAACGCCTTTTGCAAAGAAGAATACTCCTCCGCTGTGTAAGACTCGACCTATTCTAAAGCCGGCTTAATCGGAGTCGTAATAGCTTATCAATTTAGTAAGCTTAGCGTCCTTTTTATTAAAAACAATTGATAACATACGAGTACTTTGTAAGTATTGTAGAACGCGCTTTGCGGCAGCTATATATTAAGGTGACGGATTGGTTAAGAATTTAGTTAATAAAGAATAGTGGTAAGCAATGTCTTATCGAGTGTGAGTTGCGAGGTATTGTAAAGAGCTAACGATTGACTAGTACAGTGTAATCTCGTATTAGGTGGCTTGGCTTTCGAATTTGATTATGTGAACCTCGAAATCTATTGCAAAAGGTGTAAGTGCACTCTTGCAATTAAACATACCGAATCGGTCTAACACCTTGTTAATATAAGCGTTTTAGCACAAGGTAATAGTACTTGCGGGTCGATCTTTAACGATTCTGACTCTTAGAAAGTAAGTAGCCTTATCGGTACAAGTGATATCGAATAAGTCGTGCAAATCCTTTTTGAATTGCTCGTAGATTGATCTCGATTTACCGATCACTAAGAAGTCGTTAATATAAATGACAATCATGATTTTGAGGTCTTTATTAATATAGACATAGTTGTCGGTTTTCATAAAGGCGAATCTTAGTTTAGCAAGTCGCTTTCGTAACAACTTTTGTTAAAAGCGTAGTGATTGTTTGAGGCTATACAAGGCTTTAAGTAGCTTTAAGCAGTCTTTATTGGTAAGAATGTAGCCGAATTCGATTTATCTTAGTAAAGCTTTAATATAGATGTCATTATCAGCTTTACTATTTAAGAAAGCAGTGTTAACATCGAACTGTTGGACTTTTAGGTCGTATAAAGCGGCTAGAGCAATTGCAAGCTTTTAAATAGCTGATTTGCATACTCTAGCGAAGGTCTGATCGTAATCACGGCCTTTTTGCTATGTGTGGCTTTGGACTACGAATCTCACTTTGTATCGCTCGATCTTTCTATTCTTATTTCTCTTAGTCTTGAATAATAGACGTGAGCTTAGAATGCGTCCACCTTTAAGGATATCACGCTTCTTTATAATTGACTACGTCTCTTTGCGTCGAAGAGCAGAGTACTTCTTGATAATAGCTTAGCGCTAGTTATTTGCATCTGAGCGTGCTAGAGCCTCTTCTATAGTTTAAAGGTCGTCTGCAAATGGTGACTCTTTAGCAGCGTTGAAGTAGGTTTATTAGTAGGTGTTTGTTTTTTCTTTAATGGTTACGTTTGCTGATAGAGCAGCAACATTGCGAGTGCTGGACCGAGTATTTACTCGTTTCGAAAGGGGAACCTGAGGGTAGATTTTGCGTGGTCTCCGAATAGTAAGAGCTTCGGGAGTCTTATCATTTACCTTAAAGGGAACAACCTCCTCCTCGACCTCCTCCTCATCGTTTAAGGAAGAAGCTTTGTAAGGTTTAAAGAGCTTGTCGATAGCCTCCTCGTCCTTAGTCTCTTTTAAATTATTATCGAAATCTAGTTTATCTTAGACGTAGTGATCAAGGCTTTTAAAGGACTCTTGATCTTGGTTGTGCTAATTAAAGGTAAGCTGACTACGGTCAACTTGGTCACTTTTAGCTTTAGATAGCACTTCTTCTTCTTCTTTAAAGGTAGGTTCGGTAACGAGTCTATCTTTATTAAAACGAATATAAAAGGTACGAACCACTTTCTTATTAGATCGGGAAGGAACGTATACTCTTTAGATGTTATTGCTTTCGAAACTAATTAATGTTCCGACCTTAGTTTTAAGCGCTAGTTTGCGACTTTATACGCGGCGTTCAAGCTTAATTAAGACGTAGACTTTGCATCCGAGTACTCGCAAGTGCTTAACCGAAGG